CTCTGGACCCTGGATCTTTGGGGGTGTCTAGACAGGGACCTGTTCCCTAAGGCCCAGCACCATGACTCTCGGCATGTCAGCTCTCAGGTCTAACCACAGATACCCTGGCTGGTGCCAGAGTTGGTCCTGCAGACAGAAAGGCAGCAGCCTGTGGACCCAGTGGCCTGGGCTGGCTTTGCACATTCCCGCTGCTCACAGGCCAGGCCTTTGCTTCCATAAGCTAGGCCTTCACTTGAAAGGGTCCCAGCACTGTAAGTAGCTTATGGGGCCAGGGGGCTCGAAATTAGCGTCCCATGAAGACCCTGCCTTAAGAACCTTAACTCAACACTTCACATACGAGAAGTTCTCTCCCTTTGCTGACACATTCAAGAAGCGCGTCAGCAAGAACACTTTCTTTGTGCTGGTGCGAGTCGTGGATGAGCTATGGTGAGTGCCTTGCCCCAGCGCCCAGGGGTGGTTGGCAGATGTTAGGACTGTGTGCATTGCAGCAGGCCGCTAGGAAGCTCTAGGAGTGATGCAGGCTTCCTCACCTGGATCGTGAACGGTTACACTCCACCCACTGTGGGGGTATGTGCCCACTGGTTCCATTACTGCACCCCAGCTCTGAGAGGAACAGACCCTACAAACCAGGGATGAGTCCTAGACCCTCAAGAGAACCCCAGCCCCATCTGGGACTGTCCCTTCCTAACTTATCTTAGGACTAGTTCACATAAGACAGCAGCATAGTGAGGCCAATGGAGGCTGGGATAAGTGGAGAGGCTGCATCTCCACGGCTGTCACCACAGCCACAGGTCTATCTGGACCTCGGCCATGACTCCTGCCATTTCCATACTTAACCCTGTTCTGGGTGTGCCTCATCTGAATGTTTGCCCTCAGTGACATCTTGTGTGATAACTATATCACTCTAAGGTCAGTAATGGAGGGCTCAGGGAAGAAGAGGGTCTCCTAACCTGACATCTCATCCCCCAGTTAGACCAGGAGCTTCCCTGAGGGTGTGATAACTATATCACTCTAAGGTCAGTAATGGAGGGCTCAGGGAAGATGAGGGTCTCCTAATCTGACATCTCATCCCCCAGTTAGACCAGGAGCTTCCCTGAGACCAAAAGCTGCAAGTGTGTTGAATGAGTTGGCAGGGACCTATTCCAGAAAGGCCACTCCCGGCATTGTCCTCAACTGGAGCCCTGGCCTACCTTTCACCAAGTTGCCCTTGACCCTCAGCCTGGTGGAGCTGACCGAGGAGATCCTGAAGCTGCTGATGGAGCTAGTCTTCCGCCTTGTGTGCAGTGGAGAGCTCAGCCTGGCCCGCGTGCTCCGGAAGAATATACTGGACAAGGTGGACCAGAAGAAGCTGCTCAGGTGTGCCCATTCCGACCAGCCTCTGGCAGCCAGGGGTGTCGCAGCCAGGTGAGGAGCCAGGGTCCCAGCCCCATGCTGCCGGCCAGAATTGAGCCCAGCAGCTGCTTTGGCTCATAGTCCCTGTGAGATGCAAGCTTAGGGACAGTCCCTGGACTCCCATGAGTGGGCCTCTCTCCATGCTAATGGCACTGAACAGACAGGGGACAGAGGTGCTCTGGGCTGTGGTCAGCTCTGGACTTCCCCAGCACTGATGTTACCTCCTATGCCATCCTGACTTCCTAAAAGCCTGGGAAAGTCTCTCTCCTGCCCTCTGCCCAACTGGTGGGGAGTGTTGGGTGGTAAGCATGTGGAGCAGGAGAGGAAGGAAGCCAGTTGCCCTGAGAGCAGCCCTATGGCCTAGAAGAACCCATGGAGCTAAAGCCTGCATCACTGTCCCCCAAACATGCTTCTCATTCTGTGTTCCAGGCCAGGGACCTTGCATGATTTCCACAGCCACGAGATAGCAGAGCAGCTGACACTGCTGGACGCTGAGCTTTTCTACAAGATAGAGGTATGTGCTGAGTGGCCCTGCCAAGGACAGCAGCTCTTGCCTGGAAGCTGCTGCTGCTGACTGTCCCTAAGAAGAGCCCTCACCCCAGACCCAGGAACACCACAAACTGAAGTGTCATCTGTTCTGTTTCCACCCAGATCCCTGAAGTTTTGCTTTGGGCCAAAGAGCAGAATGAGGAGAAGAGCCCCAATCTGACCCAGTTCACGGAGCACTTCAACAACATGTCCTACTGGTAAGAAGGGGCCACAGCACTTGCTCAGGTGGTCTGGGTGGGCCAGTCCAAGCTTCCTGGGCAGAGAGGTTGAATGGTCAGTCCTGAGCCCTTTCCAGGGCCCATGGGCCCTGGCCTTGAACTGTGGGCAGCAGAGAGAAGATAGGGTGGGTTGGCCTCCTGCGGAGCTGGTTGAGGAGGCACCATAGGCTCTGCCGTGCAGGGAAGAGTGCCAGAATTGACTGGTGAGCCCTGCTGTGAGTGACTGAAGGGGGCGGGGGTGCTTTCTTCATGTGTTGCTCTGCCCTGCAGCTCACCTGATTGCCTGGACGTCAACTGCAAAAGAGTGGGTTGTCAAGGCTTTGATTTGTCCCTGACAAAGCTTTTGTTTGGGGGTGGTCAAGGGCTCTCTACATAGCCCTGGCTGGCTGTTCTGGAACTTACTATATAGACCAGGCTGGCCTCCACCTCACAGAGATCCACTGCCTCTACCTCCTGAGTGCTGGGATTAAAGGCGTGAGCCACCACGCCCTGCCTGACTCTGGATTCTTAAAGCACAGTGAAGGCCAGCACTGTGTATAACCCAGTCATTTTGCCCCATGTACCATCCTCCCAGGACCCCAGGGGAAGGTTTCGTTGCTTCTCCCCTGCATGGGAAGCACCCTCCCCTCAGCAGTAGCCACCATTCCAGTCTGAGTGTACTGGTTTCAAGGTAGGGGAGCTGCTTCCCTCCCTGAACCTTGCCTGATTCCGTCTGCTGCTAGCTCCAGGAAGCTCTAGGTAGGCTGGAAGTACACAGTACCCTCTGGAGCCATGGCCTCTGGCGAGTCCCTGACACAGGTGCCCTTTACAGGGTAGGAGAGTAGCCCTGCAGTGGCCCTTGTAAACCACATGAGGTTGGAGCCACCATGAGGTTAGCTCCAACACAGGTGAGGCTTGTCTTGGGTTTCAGCCTCTGAGTTTCCATCCCTATGGCTGACCCCGTGGTTTCCTACTCAGCTGTAGGGTGATCTCAGGCCCCATGAGTGAGCTCTTTCCCTGCTGAGAAGATGCTTCAACCCCCAAGGCTCCCCTGAGGTTCAGTGAATACCCTGAGATCAGGGACCAGGCCCATGCTTGTGCTTCCCTGGTCTCCAGATGGATAAGAATTTGTGACCAACTGGCGCAGGGGTCACACGTATATCCTCTAGCAGGGCCACCGAGCCTGTGGAGGACGGTTGGCTCAGCTGTTGCTTATCTGGCCCTTTCCTGCAGGGTACGCTCCATCATCATGCTGCAGGAGAAGGCCCAGGACCGGGAGAGGCTGCTTCTGAAGTTCATCAAGATCATGAAGGTAACTGGCTCACTGCCCAGGGCTCTCCCAGCTGTCTGGGGAGGCTAGAGTCACCAGCCCCCACCCTTGCCCCTGCCCCTGCCCCTGCCCTCACCACCACCTCTCTTGGCAGCACCTGCGCAAGCTGAACAACTTCAACTCCTACCTAGCCATCCTCTCAGCTCTGGATTCGGCACCCATCCGCAGACTGGAGTGGCAGAGGCAGACCTCAGAGGTGGGTGGTAGGAAGTCTGAGCAGGCTGGCATGGACCCCATCTGTCTCTGGTCTCCAGTCAGCAGGTCCTGGGGCTTTCATGGTTGGTTGTGGGGTTGTCAACTCTCCATGCACCTGCTGAACCCATTCTCAGCCCATCCATCCAAAGTGGCTTCTCTGGGCTCCATATGCATATCAGCACTCCGTAGCGAGGTAGGTGCTAGAGGAAAGGACAAGGAGCCCATGAGCAGCGTCTTCTCTGAGGCTCTCTGCCACAGAGGATTAGTTGACATTATTGACAGGTGTCAACAGGGCCTGAGTCTGGCATGTTATGGGCACCTGGCATCATTACATATCGCTAATCCACCTCCATCCTGCAGGGCCTGGCCGAGTACTGCACATTGATTGACAGCTCATCCTCTTTCCGAGCCTACCGGGCTGCCCTCTCAGAGGTGGAACCCCCATGTATCCCATACCTGTGAGTTGTCTCTCCTCCTACAGTTCTTTGGTCACCACACCTGATAGACATCTCAGCTCCCTCTGGGGCTTTTTGTTGTTGGTTTCACCTTTTAATATGTGCTTTATGTGTGTGTGTGTGTGTGTGTGTGTGTGTGTGTGTGTACCATGTATGTACAGTAGCTCACAGAAGTCAGAAGAGGGAATGGGATACCCTGGAACTAGAGTTACAAGTAGTTATGAGTGGCCATGTGGATGCTGAGAACCAAACTTGAGTCTTCTACAGTAGCAGTAAGCACTCTTAACCACTGAGCCATCTCCCCGGTTTTAGTCTATTTGACTGTTCAGTTAACAGTTTCACATTAGCAACCACAACCCTGTCTGACCCCGCAGCCAGGTCAGCCCCTCAGTCCTCCATAGCCAGGACTTACAAGTGCTCCAGGCTCTTCCAGTGCTGAGCTAGTTTTTAAGGGATCCGCAGGGGGATCTGACCCAGGTTGCAGAAGTCAGGGATACATGTGGGTCAAAAGACCACCTAAATTTGCACTGGGATTCAGTAGCCGCTTGGTATGGGCTACAGTTCTGGTGGCAAAGCCAGCTCACAGCAAAACAGCTGCCTCCCGAGTCTGTCTCCATACAGTAACTAGCTTCTGCCTTCCTCCCCTCAGAGGTCTGATCCTGCAGGACCTGACCTTCGTTCACCTGGGAAACCCAGACTATATCGATGGGAAAGTGAACTTCTCCAAGCGGTGGCAACAGTTCAACATCTTGGACAGCATGCGGTGCTTCCAGCAGGCGTAAGTGCTACCTGGCCCCACTGCGGGGAGGGGCAGGGCCCAGAGGGCCAGGAGCCTGCATCTGTGGGAGGGGTGCAGTCAGGACAGCATGGGGAAGACCACAGGCTGGGCCTGTGGTGCTGCCAGTTTGTCCTCCCAATTACACATAAGTCAGGAAGAGGTTCTCTGCAGGCCATAAGAAGGAAACTGACTGGTCTACAGAGCTTCAGGACAGCCAAGGCTACACAAAGAATCCCTGTCTCGGGAAACAAAAACAAAAGGAGGCTAACAGTACAGCCTACCTGGCTCTAGGGCAATAGGGACAGGCTTGGATAGCACAGCCCACTCAGGATGGCCTGAGTGCACCATGTCCCAGATGGGTCTGCCCAGAGAAGCCGGGCTCCCCATGGGAGCCACTGCAGCAGTGCCTGTTGAAGGTCCAGAGCTCACAGTGGGCTGCTCACACTGTTTTATGTTCCGGTGCTGAATGCTGCTGTCCCCTGTCAGGTTGGGTAGCAGGCAGTTGACTGAAGGCCCACAGTAGTCAGGGTTGCACCCTGTGAGAGGTTCTCACCTGGCTATTCTGCTGGCCCTGAACTCACTGACTACCCCTCTCCCACCAGGCACTATGAAATCCGGAGAAATGACGACATCATAAACTTCTTCAATGACTTCAGCGACCACCTGGCCGAGGAGGCCCTATGGGAACTCTCTCTGAAGATCAAACCCAGGAACATAACAAGGCGGAAAACAGACCGTGAAGAGAAGACCTAGGAGCAGGCTGGGTGTGAGAACGCCGAGCGGCCCAGAGAGGACCTGGACCATCCCAGCTTCAGAGCCTGTCACAGCTTGGCTGTGTGGCAGCACCTGAGCCTGCGGGGCTGGTTTCCTGCCTCTCTCCCTGTGGCTAAAGCCCCAGGGTTCACAACAAGTGCAGGCCTCAGGACTGGCTTGTGAACTAGCGGCCCCTGGTCTGGTTTTGTTTTGTTTTCTGTCAATGCTCCCTCCTGTTCCCTACTGTGCCCCTCCAGCTGGGGAGCAACAGAGACCTGAGCAGCAGACTAGGGCAATGGTGGGCTTCAACCCTCCTAAGACTGCCCTAGCCTTCTTAAGTGGCAGACGAGTGGAGGCCCCAGGACCCTTGGGTGGGTTGCCCTCCAGGGCACCTGGAGCCAGGGGAGATACGGCCAGGAGATGGGAGGCAGAAAGCAGAGAAGGACCATGGCAGGAATCTTTTGTTGTTCATTCCCTGCCTTTTAAATCTGGAGGATGAGGCGTGTAGACCTGGCCAAGAAGGTATGGTGAGTGACAGGCAGCAGCCAGAGCTGGCATTCATCACAGTACTGGCCCCAGACCTACCCTGCCATGCATGGCCCACTAGGGCTCACCTGCTGCACTGTGACAGCACCGCCAGTAGCACCTTCCGTCCCGTTGTGCCCACTACTGGCCCAGCCCCAGCCCACACCATTGGCACTGTGGGGATCTGGAAGAGGAAGCAGAGCTCGTGCTGAGCTGGGGCCAAGGCTGTGCTTGTGATTAGATCAGAGAGTGAGGGTCTCAGTGACCTAGGGAGAGGCAAGCAGCCCCTCCATGCTTGCTGTGTGCCTTAAATGCCATCTCCTGTCCCTTCCAGCCTATACCCCAGCCCTGGCAGCCAACAGATCCCTAGTCCCTTTCTGCTCCCTGGGAATGCCTGGTGTCCCCAAGAAGACTGAGCAGGCCTGGGGTGTGAGTGCCTGCAGAGGCCTCCTGATTCCAGGCAGGTGCTCTTCCCCCGATGTGGAGCCACCCTTGAGGTTGACAATCGAGGGCAAGATGTTCAGGGCTCAGTGCTGGGGTCTCCCAGGCCACGGCTTGCTCCATGGCCACCACCATGGCTAGTTGGCAGGGTGCGGATCAGAATCCAGACATGCTGCTGGCCCTGCACCATGCCTCCAGTTCACTTTTGCATGAACAAGCACCCATTTCTTCTGGTCATGGGGCTTGGTCAAGTGGACACCAGGATCTCTGTGCTTCCTCAACCCAGTCGTCACAGCGGAAGAAAAGGCAGAGCAACAGCTGCTGGCCGGGTGCAAGTTTGAAACAACTGTCGCTCTGAACCTCTCCTGGGTTTTCGTCACAGCGGAAGAAAAGGCAGAGCAACAGCTGCTGGCCGGGTGCAAGTTTGAAACAACTGTCGCTCTGAACCCCTCCTGGGTTTTTTTTTTTTTTTAGCAGCTTTTATCAAAAAGGAACTGTGAGCTATTCTGCCCCCCTCTCCTGTTTATTTGTGCTGTAAATAGAGAGGGGGCATCCGTGAACAGCCCCTTGGCCAGCTCCCTCTGGCAGCAGCCAGGGCAGGTTGTTTAAGGAGTGTGTGTGGAGTCAGGGTTGTGAGCAGTCGTGTGGGTCTTTGGATTGTTTCTCTGCAGGTCCTTTCATTTCAGTCTTTGCCTCCTGTCCCTCACCAGCTCTGAGTGCTGCTGTGTGCGAGTGGGGGGCCACTGTGCACACAGGGCCCTTCCTCCAGCATCCCTCTGTAGCACAGGCCATCAGGCCTAGCCTGTCGGTACCACAGCAGACAACAGGTCTGTGATCTGGCATCTGCAGGTTCCCAAGCATGAGCTTGGGACAGAAGGGAAGGCTCACCTTCCAAATCTAGAAAAACCAGGGCCTCCTGAAGTCCTGGGAGCCTTTGGTGGCCAAAGCAAAGGGCTGGGGCAGCTCTGGAGCCTCCGTGTGGGGACAGCAAGGTGCGATGCGTGGTTTTAACTTATTAGCCAACAGGCTTCCCTAGTCACCTGAGCCCAGTGCTCACTGCAGCCTGGCTTCCACATGTCTGTTTCTCGGGGGTGAGGGAGGCTGGGAGAGTTGTGGAGATCAATCTTTGTAGGCATACTGAGTGGCGTGGACAATTCAGTTCTCAGCAGAGGCCAACCTTATGTGTGGGTATGGTATGGCCAAGGCTAGGGCAAGCAATTGCCACAGGCTGACCCTTGAACCAAGATACCTGCCCAACGCCTGCCTTCCAGTGTGAAGCTGTAATATAAATCCCCCACTAACCTGTCGGACAGTGGCACCTTCATACAGACATTACAAGCGCGTAACTTTTATATGAAAAAAAAAAATAAAACAGACAAAAGCCTGTCTGATGCCATGTCTGTGTCCAGGCTTTCTGTGCAAGGCTACGTTAGGCCAGTCCCTGCCTACTTGTGACATATCTGAAGGGGAGGGGATAAGGACTCTGGTAGGCCTCAGACCCACTCTTGTGGTTGTGGTTTCTCTGGCTGAGGAGACAGGTAACACCAAGATCTGCCCTCCTCAGAACCTACCCCCATCACGCTCTGCTACCATCCCTGTTCATAGCCCCAGGAACATTCAAACTGAGAGAAACTGGAGAATGGCTGAGTGGGTGCAGGCACTGGCCACCACTCTGACAACCTGAGTTCAATCTCTGGGACCCATGGGCTAGAAGGACTTCTGTAAGGTATCCTCTGGTCTCCATATACACATGAAGAAAAATAGGAATATACCAAGGAGCTGTGCCCTCTGCCCTGTGAAAAGGGTTGTGCAGGGTAGATTCAGGCGCCAGGCTTTAAACTGTGCCTTTGTGGTGCCTTCTGCAGGTCGTTCCTCTGACTTTCCAAATATGAGCGCAGAGGGAAGGGGACTGGTTTCAGAGCCAAGAAATGTCCTCAGACCTTGGGAATTAAGTACCACACCCAGGAGGACAGCTCACAGCCAGCCCCTGATGCTAAAGAGATGATGTCAGAGAGACTGGAGAAACTTTTAACTTTTTTTGTTTTTTGAGACAGGGTTTCTCTGTGTAGCTCTGGCTGTCCTGGAACTCACTCTGTAGACCAGGCTGGCTTCAAACTCACAGAGATCCTCCTGCCTCTGCCTCCCGAGCGCTGGGATTAAAGGCATGCGCCACCAACACCGGAGACTTTTAACTATTAACCCAGCAGTTGAGAGCACTGGCTACTCTTGCTGAAGACATGGGTTCAATTTTCAGCACCTGCATGGTATCTAACAACCATCTGTAACTCCAGGGAATCCAGTGCTCTCTTCTGACCTCTTCTGACACCAGGCATGCAAGTAGTGCACATGCTTGAAAACACAACACTCAGCACAAAAATCTAAAAAAAAAAAAAAAGAAATTATTAAAAATGAAGACTGACTGAGCCACACTTGGTGGGTGGTACACTTCTGTAATCCCAGCACTTGGGAAGCAGAAGCAGGTAGATCTCTAGGCTAGCCAGGGATACATAGTGAAAACTTGTCTCAAAAAAAAAAAAAAAAAAAAAAAAAAAGTCTAGACTGAAAGTTAATATAGTTACCATAGCAATACAATTCATAACTTTCCAGGTGATAAAAGAAAAATCCGGGCGGGCGTTGGTGGCACACACCTTTAATCCCAGCACTCGGGAGGTAGAGGCAGGCGGATCTCTGTGAGTTCGAGGCCAGCCTGGTCTCCAAAGCGAGTGCCAGGATAGGCTCCAAAGCTACACAGAGAAACCCTGTCTCAAAAAACCAAAAAAAAAAAAAAAAATCCTGATGATACATGAAAAATCTATGTATTTTTTAATACTTAAAAATCTAGGACTTCTCTCTCTTGGAGACTATGTCTGGCTTACCATTTAAGCCACAACAGAGCCAAGGCAAAGATGCATCCACCAGCTTTTGAGGCAGAAAAGCTGGTTTCTGGTTAGTAATACCTTGAAACACAAAGTCCCACGCAAACAAAGGAATGGGTCTTTCTCTGTTCTCAGTAGGACAGGAACATCTTATTCTGGAGTAAAATTACTACCAGCTGAGAGAATCTGGAGGACTTCGACCCCTCTGGTAGAAGAAGCCTTGGCATTCTGGAAGGTCTAATCCACAGAAAAAGGGCAAACTGTATTGCCAGGTGTTTGGGTTCATATCCAGTACATGTTATACAAACCAGGCTATCTCCTTACTGATGGACTCTATGAGACCTAGACAACAAAGGTAGCTTTCTTTTGCTGAGAATTCTTCACTCTCAACTTACAAGGTCCTCTCTTAAATCCAACCAAAGTACTGTCTGTCTATCCATCCATCCATCCATCCATCCATCCGAAATAAAGCATTTTTGAGAGCTTAAAAAAAAAAATCTAGGACTTCATCCATCCATCCATCCGAAATAAAGCATTTTTGAGAGCTTAAAAAAAAAAAATCTAGGACTTCAGCTGGGTGTTGGTAGTGCACGCCTTTAATCCCAGCACTTGGGAGGCAGAAGCAGGCTGATCTCTGTGAGTTCGAGAGCAGCCTGGTCTACAAGAACTAGTTCCAGGACAGCCTCTATAGCCACAGAGAAACCCTGTCTCGAAAAAACAAAAACCAGGAAAAACACACGAGATTAAACACTGAAAAACAATAAAATACATGGATTCAGCATCATGTGAACATGAACCTCAGCAGATATGTCAGACTTAAGTGGGCTTTAAAGAAAGAAAACAAAGAATTTTAGTTCTAATAGCATCAAAAAGAAACAAACAGGGATGATGATGAAACATGCTAGATTCCACAGAAAACTAACAAGCACTTAGAGGAAGTGTTGTAGAAGACCTACATGTAAGGGCTGGGTGTGTAACTCAGTGGTAAGGTGCTTGCCTAGCATGTGTAAGGCCCTAGGTTCAATCCCCAGCACCACACCACATGTAAAAAGAACTATATACTTAAAATGAGACATTTTACAGATCATGGAAACATGTCAGTTGCCAGGTATGGTGGTACACTGTGTAACCTGAGCTACATTCTAAGACTCCCAAAATAGTTAACCTCAGTTAATCACTGATGTGATGCAGTTACTGTTAAAATCCCAATAGTGTGTGTACAATGCACTTGTCTGTGTGGGTGTGGCAACCAGAGAGTGACATCAGATGTCTGAGCCGTCCCCACATAGTGCTGAGATGTCCCCACTATAACTGTATATTCGTGCAGTGTGAGCTGTCCCCACAATAGCTGTATATTCACGCACAGTGCGAGCCATCCCCACTCTATCATGCAGTGCGAGCCATCCCCAATCCAACTGTATATTCACGCACAGTGTGAGCCATTCCTCTATTTCTCACACTCCAGGCTCCACTTGCTTGTTTTCATATCAGCTTCACCTTACAACAGCGTTGAGTAATGGACACTGGAGCTTTTGTGCTAAGATTCTGATGCAGGTACTCTTGACAGTTTTATTAACCACCACCCAAGGTGTCCTGAGGCAGCAGCAGAAGAGGCAAGAAGCTCATTACTCATGCAGCGCTTCAGGCTGCAGTTACAGGCCCCACTGCAGTTTAACATGACCCCCTCAGATGTCTCACGGCACCCCCAAAGGAGCAGCCATCTAGACACCTTTCCACGGTGACTTATTTAAAAGGTGTGTGAGAATGGTTTGGTTGGCTAGTGGGTGCTATGAGGCACCTTTGAGGCCTCTACCAGGCCCCAAAAAATCCTTTCCTCCTCTTCTTGGCTGTCATGCATTTTGAAGGTCAAGTTCTTGGTTCCAGAACAGCCCTGTGCCCTGGACCTCCACACTGCTCATTGCAGACTTCCTTATTCCAGTCTCCGAACCTGGAGGAGGGCGGGGCTTCTGCTCCATTACCCACAAGCGCTGTTGGTTGCAGGCAGCAGGGCCTGAAGGAGAGGGCAGCCTGTGTGTGAGCCGCCCATGCTGTAAAATCCAACCTAGAGCCCTGCTCACATGGATGGGACTCTTGTGAACAAGTCTTTCTCACAGCCAGCTGGACTGGACCCCAGGGTACATGATGTGAGGACAGCTGTGTATCTTAAGTGTCTCACAGCGTTTGGGGTGGCCTGATCTGAGAGTACTCCCCAGTCAGGACAGCCATCCCTAACTGGGGGCCCAGTTTGTTTTCTTTGTGAGAGTACTCCCCAGTCAGGACAGCCATCCCTAACTGGGGGCCCAGTTTTCTTTGTTGTTGTTTATTTTTGAGACTCGTGAAGCCCCAGCTCGCCTCCAGCTTTCAGTGTAGCCAGGTTTGCCCTTGAACTGTTCCTTCTGCTCAAGTTCTGGGATTGCAGATGTGCACCGCCATCCCCCATTCGTGTAGTGCTGGGGATGGAGCAGGGGGCTGCGTGCATGTCCTCAACCAGCTGAACTGACCTATTAAGAGAATGAGCAGGAAGCGGGGGCAGGGAAAGGCAGAAGCTGAAAGCCTCAGACAAGTAGCCAATAGAAGCCAGAGGCGGAAAGGAAGACAGAGATGTTTACAGAAAAGTGGGTCCCGGGAAAGGAGGCACCCTATGTAAGTGAAGCTCAAGTGTGAGCCAGCTCAGAGACAGGCAGGCAATGGGCCCAGGGAATCTGCTGCACACAGATGGAAGTCAGAAAGTAGCAGTGTCCTCTGAAGTGGTGACAGGAAGGTCTGTCCTTGTTGACTGACCATAGCAGTCCTATCTCTCGCAGCATGGGCAGCACCAGGCAGGAACTCCCCGGGAGAGAAGCGGTATTGAGTTCTCCTCTCCACTCTCCCAGAGGAGTATGCACTGACTAGAGCCAGATCCCTGAGTTGGGCTGAAGGTGGCCATGTCCTCTGGAAGGCTCTGAAGACAGTGAGGACTTTAGTCTTCTGTGTTCTTCAGGAGTGAAGGTGAAGACAGGCATCCCAGGAAGACTTCCAGGCCTTTGTCCCTCAGATTAGGATCCCACTCAAGGCCTAATGGACCAATTCCCCTTTGCCCTGTGTGAGCACCAGCTAGCCATAGAAAGGGCACATCCTGGCTTGCAAGTCCTGAGCCTCAGGGGAAGTAGAGGGCCACCACCACATAGATGACCCAGCTGGTAGACACGAAGACCCCGAAGAGCAGACTGAAGAGCACGAGTGAGCGGGCCTTCCTCGAAGCCTCCTCCGCCTGTGCCAGGTCACCCCTGCCCAGGGCTGCTCGAGTCTGTAATAAGACAGGTCAGGGTGGGATGCATCAACAGTGATCCCCCTCTACCCACCCAAACCCCACCAGCACACCTTCAGACCAGGCCCATGCCACAAGCCAGGAACTGACAGCCTGGGAATACCAGGACCCAGGCCACAGCTCATAGATGTGCAAGAATGGGGCCAGAGATCCCTCCAGCACTAAGGAATGCCCTCAAACTCTTCTTAGGCCACCTCATAGCAGCTCTCAACTGGGGATCATTGCACCTCGCTTTGCTAATGATGACATGAAAGCTCAGCAGACTTAAATGGCCACCCTGGGCCACACAGCTGCTGGTAAAGCTAAAACCCACCTCTGAGCTGTTTGCTCCCCTAAGTCCTGGCTGGTGCTAACCTGGAACTGAGACCTCTCCCCCCCCCAGCCCCGCCCCACTTACCAGCAAGGCTGGGCTGTTACCTGCAAGCACACACAGCCCCCCCAAGGCTTGCCTTCTGTCAATCAGAATGTCATGGCACCTTCATCAGTGAGTCCCCCAGGGCCTAACCCAGTGCCAGGCATGTGGACAGTAATGGAGGGAAAGCTGGGGGGGGTAGTAATGAGAAAGTGAGGGGATGGAGATGAGTAGCTATGCAAATGGAAGAATGAACAGCAAGGCAGGTGAATAGAAAGTGGGAGGTGGGTGAGCAGAAAAGACAGGTGAGGTCAGTGGCCGATGAATTGATAGCTGATGGTAGATGGGTGGAGGAGGGCGGGAGGCTGGGTTGATAGTGATGTGTCTTAGGAGGGAGGGTGGAGAGATGAATTAACAGTTGAGTAATTTCAAGCCAGCAAGGCAGATGGTAGCTACTGGACAGAGGGGAACTGAGGCAGCTGGATGAAGCTGCAGACTGTAGGCTGCCAAAATACCCCAACAGGGCTGGGCAACACCTTGGGACTCATCAATCATGTATTAAAGGACTTAAGAATTAACAAAGAAATAAATTAAGGAGACTTAGAAAAAAACCTCACCCTAAGAACGGGGAGACCTGACTTAGAAACCTAACCAAGGCCACAATGACCCGAGTCCCTGGAATTTCCTAGCTGGCAGAAATAACTCCCTTACAAGGCCACAAGACAACCTAACTAAATACCAAGAATTCCCAGAGGGCCACCCTGCCCTGGGGTCATGAAGATAAGAACAGACTATCCCACTGAGTCAGGAGACCATCCAGCCCCAAAGATAAGAGATCTCCAAAGGACCTGTGACTCTGGTCATGTACCCAAACCCCTAAAAGCCTATGGTTTTCTCCTATAAAAGAAGCCTGCTTTTGAGGAACAGGGCTTCTTTTGTCTGTCGGACTGGGAGGCCCGTTTGCGCAAATGTCCCACAATAAACTTACCTCTTGTTTTTACATCAGCTGGACTGGACATTGAGTGTTTTGGGGGGGACTGTCCGATTTGTGGCGACTCCTCGATCTGAGGGTCTTTCAGTATACCCTTTTTTGTTTGAGAACTTGCCAGAACAAATCCTTAGTAATGAGGGTCACAGGCGAAAAAGGGAGAGGAAAACGGACAAGAAAGGCCAGACCCCACAACAGGGCTTCTTCCTCTGGTCCTACCTAGCTGCTGCGTGGGGACTCCTACAAGTCCCCACAGGAGCTAAGGCTCCTCTCTTATGGCCATTTCCCTTACCTCATGGGAGTAGACGATGGCAATAAGCCCTGTGAGCAGGCAACAGAACAGGGTCACCAGCACTGACTCCATCATGAAGTCCTTGGGCAGAGGCCTGTGTTCCACCTGCATGGGGGCAGGCCCACCGGCCATGGGGCTGCCGTACTGTGGGGACAGAAGCACTGACATGAAGAACCAGGGAAAGTGGGCCTGACCCCCTTCCCCTCCTCACACTCTGCCCTGCACACGCTGCCGAGCCCAGGACTGGCCACCATGATGTCTTATGTGCCAGGGAGCTACGGAGGCTGAGAGCTTCCACCTCTCCACTGGCAACCCACAGCCTGCCCGCCTTCCTTAGTGTCAGCTCAGAGAATTGCCAGCCTCTGTCTCTGCTGTGCCATTGGAGTCCTAGTGGAGGTGGAGGCAACAGAATCAGGCATTTCTCCACTACATAATGAGTTCCAGGCCAGCCTGAGCCACATAAGAGCTTGTCTTTACTTTTTTTTTTTTTTAAGCCAGGTGGTGGTGGTGCACACCTTTGCTCCCAGCACTCAGCAGGCAGAAGCAGATGGATTTCTGCAAGTCGAGGTCAGCCTGGTCTACAGAGTGAGTTCCAGGGCATCCAGCGCTGTTACACAGAGAAGCCCTGTCTCGAAAAAAAATTATTTATCACATCCACCCTTTGGGACCTTCCCCACTGATGGTGCCCTCCTTACTCCTCTTACCACCACAGCAAACCCAGCCTTCCCAGAACAAAATGGCTGACCACCGGGCAGCCTGTGCCCAGTGTCTTTCTCCTGGACAACTCCTATTCATCCTTAGGAACCCCGTTTGCTTGTCGCTTGTCTCAACCTTGAGAAATCTCTAGCCACCTGTGTGCAGATCTGTGTGGGGCGTGCTCTCACCGCGGGGAAGGGGAAGGAGGCTCCGGTGGCAGCGGCGGCTGCTGGTGGGAAGAGCGGGCCGGGCGGTGGCGGATAGAGTGCGGTGGGCCCGGGCGCGGGCTGGAACAGTACTGGCATCTGCGGGAAGGGCGGGTAGAGCAGCGCCACTGCCTTGGGGTCGGGCGGTGCATAGGGTGGGGGCTCGCCCACGAAGCCGATGGGCGGCACGGTGCCGCCGGTAGCCTTGAGCCCGGGCCCCGCCTCAGCCAACGTGGAAGTGGGTTCTGGATCCCCCGGGGCCGGCTCGCTGCCCTCTGCGGCAGCTGCGGCCTGGTCCTCATCAGGCCTCGTATCTTCATCTAGCAGCTGTGGGCGGCGCGGGAGCTGCGGGAGTGCGGGCTGCGAGGGGCTGCGTGTGTCCTCGGCTGCTGGAGAGTCCTCCGGGGCTGCAGGGCTGTCGCCCCCGTTGGCGTTGGGACCTGGAGAAGGCAGAGCTGTGAGGCCAGGCTGCTGATCCCCCAGCCCAGCTGCACCCAAAGCGCAGGGGACCCAGTGCCCTCCAGGCAGCCAGGATTCCTGCCAGATGCTCCCATCACCCTGCCCCATGAGGTTCCTTCGGTGATGCTGCCTCTTGAACGTAGGCAGAGCTTGACACTTTCTCTGGCCCAGGGGACATTGACAGAGCACAAGTTGGAACTTAAAACACTGTGTCTTTGGTCACCAGAGCTTGGGGAGGGATGCTCAGTGGCGGTAGAGAGTCTGCTCTTGAGGTGACCAAGAATTTCTGAACGCGAAAGAAGGGAAGCTCACAATGCAGGGTACAGGACTGACTGATACTGACGCCTCGGTTCCTACCGTGGTCTGACTGATACTTAGTAATGACTGATACTGACTGATACTGGTCTTGTCAGGGCTGGGGAGATGGATTCGTTGGTGATGCGCCTGTAGTGCAACCATGAAAACCTGAGCTCAATGCCCAGAACCTACATAAAAATCATGGCAGAAGTTTGCCATCCCATCCGTGGAGACTAGCGGCTCCCTGGTCCCCCACTTTAGCCTAACTGATGGTCTAACAGCCAGTGAGAGACACAAACAGGGTAGGCAGATCCAGAGAGATAATACTTGAGGCTGACCTATGGCCTCCCCTCTGAGGGAAAGAATAAGGACCAAAGCGTTCATGATGGAAAGTTTCTCGCTGTGTGTTTTAAGCATAATTTTAAAAAATGTATTTATTTTCGGACTGGAGAGATGGCTCAGAGGTTAAGAGCACTGACTGCTCTTCCAGAGGTCCTGAGTTCAATTCCCAGCAACCACATGGTGGCTCACAACCATCCGTTATGAGACCTGGTGCCCTCTTCTGGTGTGCAGATATACATGGAAGCAGAATGTTGTATACATAATAAATAAATAAAATCTTTTTTAAAATGTATTTATTTTCATATGCATGAGTGTTTTACCTGCATGTATGCCTGGCATCCCATGCATGCAGTGTCTGTGGAGGCCAAGAGTGCATTGGACCCTCTGGAGCTGGAGTTACAGATGATTGTCAGCTGCCATATGGGTGCTAGGAATTGACCCCAGGTCCTCTGCAAGAGCAGCCAGTGCGTTCTCTCTCTCTCTCTCTCTCTCTCTCTCTCTCTCTTGGTTTTTTTGAGACAGAGTTTCTCTGTGGCTTTGGAGGTTTGGAGGCTGTCCTGGAAACTAGTGCTGTAGACCAGGCTGGTCTCGCTCGAACTCACAGAGATCCGCCTGCCTCTGCCTCCCAAGTGCTGGGATCAAAGGCGTGCACCACCATGGCCCAGCTGCAGCCAGTGCTCTTAACCCCTGAGCCATCTCTCCTGCCCTAGCCATGCTTTTTTAAAAAGCTTGTCTCTCCAGCTGATAACAACTAAAACCCCTGAGACAAAACACAAAAGCCACCAGGAGTCACTGAAAGTGAGAACAGCAGGGAGGCACCTTACCTCCTGCTCCCTCCCAGTCCTGAGCCCATGATAAAAGAATGGCCCCGCAGGAAGAACTGATGGGTGACTCTGGACTTCCTGAGCACTGTGCTTGAGCTGAGCCACCATCTGATCCCTTTGCCCTGGACTGTCTCTGGTCCTGGAGTACCAAGTCCTGAACATTCTAGAATTAATCCCCATAAGTATCGAATGCAGCCTTGAGCAGTGGGTATGGGGCAGACTCACACAGTAGCCAGGGAGGCTGTGGGATGAGCCAACCATGGAGATGCCACACACAGAAGGTGAACCAGAACTGACCAAGCTGAGTCAGGGAATCACAACAGGACTGAGAAGTAACACATACAACAGCCCCAGTACCCAAGGCACTAACCCAAATAATCTGCAATGTGAAGAATTAGGACTGTGTGAGTATTCTTCAAGAGAAACCAGTTTGTGTATATATTGGGGGGGCGGAGGGCAAGACCTATAATCCCAGCACTTAGAAGGATTGCCTCAAGTTCAGGTACAGCCTGGGCTATAAGGCGCTATCTCAAAAATAAGAAGAAAGGCTAGATGGATGGCTCAGCATGGTAGAGCTTGCTGCTGGGTGTTGAGTTCAATCCCCAAGACCCACACGATAGGAGAGTTGTCCTCTGACCTCCACTGTCAACCATGGAATTCTAGTGTTTATGCAAGCCTGCCTGTGCACGCGTATTCGTGCACGCACACACGCGCATACACACACATACACACACACACAGAGAGAGAGAGAGAGAGTATAAAGAGGAGAGAAGAAGAAAGACCAACAAGAAAAGATACATAAAAAACAAAGGGAAACCAAGACGGGCAGTGGTGGCACACGCTTCTAATCCCAGCACTTGGGAGACAGAAACTGGTGGATCTCTGGGATTTCGAGACCAGCCTGGTCTACAGAGTGAGTTCCACAACAACCAAAGCTACACAGAGAAATCCTGTCTCAACTCCCCTTACCCCACCCACACACACACTAAAAACCTAACACATACCAACTCTGATGCCTAGACACTGGAACAATAAGAAAAAGCATGCTTGCTCCACAAGGTAAAGAGAAACACACTTAAAATAAATTCAGCAGAAAGCCACATTTTAAAAAGAACGAAGACCTAAATTTAAAATAAGTTTTGAATTATCTGAATTTGTTTCATTTACCGAGACAAGTACTCACTATGTATCCCCAGCTGACCTGGAACTCACTATGTAGACCAGGCTGGCCTCAAACTCATAGAGATCAGCCTGTGCCCTGGCTTGATGGGAGCTTGAGGAGTGTCTAATACTTGAAAGGAGATCACACACACATTTTAATTCGTATGTCTGGTGTATTTGAACATACCTCAGAGTTAAAACATTAAGAGAACTTGCCAAAGCCTGCAATGTAGTTCTCTGGTAGAGCTTGCCTGGCATTCCTTGGACCCTGGGTTCAATCCTCAATACTGGAGAGAGGTGGAAGGAGAAAGGGATGTTTTGGGGGGAGTTGGTTTTTGTTGTTGTTGTTCCCCTCCTCACCAGGTTTCACAGTGTAGCCCTGGATGTCTTGGAACTCACTCTGTAGACCAAGCTGGCCTCTGGGATGGCTCAGTGGGTAAGAGCACTTGCTGAACACATGTGAGGACCTAGGTTCATATCCACAGCACCCACAGAGAAATCAGGAGTCTGTGGGAAGGGGAGGTGTGCACCAGAAACCTCAGTGCGGTGGAGGATGGATGGATATAAGAAGATGACTGAAAATTTCTGAGCCCCAGGTTGGATAAGAAACCCCCTCTTAAGGGAATAAGGCAGAAAGTGCTAAACACTCCGAGTCCCCCTCTGGCCTCTATGCCTACTGTGAATCCACTAGTTCACACATGTGCATACACAGAAACAGACGGACGGGGACACACACACACACACACACACACACATACACACACACACACACACACCACTGGCACGCTGGAGCTCCTCCCTCTTTTGTAGGAAAATTCTTTGAGCAGCCACTGCCAAAGACCCAGAGCCAGCCTACTCTACTCCATGACAGACCACAAACAATGGGTAACACCAGGACCAGCCTGTCAGTCCCAGGAGCCTCCACCTGGGTGAGCTGGCCTGAGGGCAGGTGCAGGCCTGGGACCTGGAACCCACTGTTCTGGGCCTCTTTCCATCAAGTATAAAATAAGGATTGATAATGGCAATCGCAGTGTTACAAAAATGGCAGGGAGCAGTTGCCCGGGCCCTGGGCTCTGGTCGTCCCCTCATCTTAAGAAGCCTCCATGCACAGACCAGGCAACCAAGGGCTCAGCAAGCACTTTAGCTAATTAAAGCCACAGCGGAAGGACCCAGTCGCAGAAACGCCAGGCTTCTGACCCAGTTATCATAACAAAAACCGCAGTTTCCCTGGATCCCGCCAGCACAAATACCTGGCCCGATGCACAGAGATAGGGGCCTCCGAGTAAATAAATCTACTGGCTGCGCCTGGCTCTGTGGCCTGGGGTTCTCGAGTTCTCGACACCCGAGCCTGAGGCGATAGTCCAGCCAAGACAGAGAAGGATGGAGCTGCTCCAAGGCCTGGGGGGTTCTAGAAGGGGGAAGGCACAGTGGAATTCTGCTAGTCACCCCAGCATCCTCCATAGGGGGTGCAGGGGATGCGAGGGGCACCCGGGCATCTGATGGCGAACCTGTATGGGTCTCGGCACCACTTCATGCCCCTCATGCCTGGGACTCCCTAGTGATCGCGAGGACCCGGGGTCCTTTGCCTGGATACGTGACGGCTGACGGCGATGGGACTCTACCAGGGAGCATCCACACCTGCCTGCCCAGTCTCTGATCCAGTCTTCGAGACCTCTCCCAACCAGGGCTCTGAATTCCTTCTTGCTGGGTCACCACCTTCTTGAGGGGCCTCCACCTGGTCCCGGGAGCGAACAAAGCAAGCACACACTGGATGCAGCCAGGAGAGTCTGGGCGGGAAATGCAGAGCCACCCGCTGCTGCCAGGACACCTGCTGTCGACCAGGGGCCCATCCTTCCCCAGATGTCCCGCAGTATGCAAGAAAGTTCCTGAACTTTAACGCCGAAGCCTCTTGGCTCCCAGGCCCTGAATGCGGGTGTGCCCCGACGCCAGTGTCGCCTCGTTCCTGTCTGCGCCCTCGGTCTCTGCGCTTTATCCCCTGTACCCGGCGCCCCTTACCTGCCTCCATGGCCCGATCCGCGTGGGTGCGCGCCGGCTGTGCTGCTCCCGGCCTCGAGCCTGGGTCCGCCCCACTCGGTTGACTGTGCCGGCTCGGGTTTCCTGGTGCCCGCTGCGCGACAGGTTAATAATTGACCGCCCTGTTTGTCCACGTCTGTGTCAACACGTCGCTCCTTCGCGCCCTGGAGCTTGCAACCCACTCTGCATCCTCCCGGTTTGGGCCAGTTAGCGCTGTGACGGACCCTGAGGGCAGGATGCCTTGATCTAACTCTTTGCCGAGTTGCAGGGCCTTGACGTTGACGGGTGGGGGAGGAGGATCGTGCATTTCCTACAGGGATGAGAGGAGAGACCACGGGGAGAGGGGAGGGCCAAAGACAAATTGTATAGCCAAGTTTTTGTTTGTCTGTTTTTTGTTTGTTTGTTTGTTGTTTGTTTTGTTGTTGTTGTTTTTGCATCCGCTTCCGGCTCCCTGCCCCAGAGTAGTCAGGAGTGTAGATTTCATCTAAGAGCTGAGGTTTAGAACAACACGTGCCTAACTTTCTTCCCGAGATGCACCAGGCCAAAGAATGTACAACCGGTCCGAACCCAGTCACCTGAAAATACCACACTTACAATGAAGGCATGCTTGGCCGCCTTTTGTATATTCACAGCTGAGCTCCCAGACAAGGAGAAAAGTTGTGTCCGGTGTTCAGTTCACGCAGGTCGTGGAAGAAACAAGGGTCACTCCAGGCTGAATTTTAGCCCGAGCAGCCTCAGGGAAGTCAGCCTCTGGCGAACGGTCTGTTGTTTTGCAAAAAGGCTTTTTGTTGTGGTGGTGGTTATACAATTTACACGTTTAGCAAGTCAATTTCCACATAACAAAATCCCTTATCTGAAGCTCCCCAAAGAGACAAATGCCAAAGCAATTCCCAGTTACAGGGCATCTCCGTTTTCTGAATTCTCCCACAACCAAGTTTTGCATAGGCTTTGAACCTTTATGGAACTTTCAGATAAGATTTACATAGAAGGTATGGGACACAAAAAGTAGCAATCACAAAGGCAGATCAAAGCCAGGTGCTACTCGGGGAGGCCGGTGGTGGCGCACGCCTTTAATCCCAGCACTTGGCAGGCAGATCTCTGTGAGTTCAAGGCCAGCCTGGTCTACAGAGCGAGTGCCAGGATAGGCTCCAAAGCTACACAGAGAAACCCTGTCTCGAAAAACCAAAAAAAAAAAAAAAAAAAAAAGAGAGAGAGAGAGAGAGAAAGAGAGAGAGAGAGCTAACACTCTGGCAATCAAATCAGCTGCAGAGCAAAGAAGGGAGCAATTTACCAGGCCTTGAAGCTTGGGTCTGTGAGACACAGGATGAAGATAGATGGCTTATAGAGTTTACAAACAAAGCTACTTTGACCCAGCAGAGGCTCTGGATAGAGAAATGAACTCTCTCCAGGAGCTGAGTATGGGGTTCAAGTTCAGCTCATCAACATGATCCAGAAGCCCCTAAACTAAAAAGAGAGATTAGAAATAAAAGGGAGAGGTGAAGAGATGGCTCAGAGGTTAAGAGCAGAGGACAGAAATTTGGTTCTCAGCACCCACTAATTTCAGCTCCAGGGATCTGATGCCCTCTTCTGGCCTCTAAAGACACTGCACTCACGTGTGCATACACAAACACAATGTCTTAGCTACTCTTCCATTGCTATGAAGAGACACCATGACAGAGGCATCTTTAGAAGAACTTATTGGTCTAAAATTTATAGGAAAGTGAGACCAACCAGAGCTGTAATGAGGCCAAAGAACGAAGCTTCATTGAGATATGAACTGCCAGGCTATCTCTGAGAGAAGGTAATAAAGCCAAAAGCAGAAAGTAAATTAATAGAAATGGGTAAATGTAAGTTACAAGAGCTAGTTAGAAATAAGCCTAAGCTAAGGCTATGCTTTCACAGTTAATAATGTCTCCATGAGGGTTGGAGAGATGGCTCAGTGGTTAAGAGCACTGGCTGCTCTTCCAAAGCATTCAGGTTCAATTCCCAGCACCCACACAGCAGCTCACAACTGTCTGTAACTCCAAGATCTGACACCCTCACACAGACAAACATGCAGGCAAATACCAATGCACATAAAAAATAATGTCTCCATGTGATTATTTTTGTGAGCTGGCAGCCCCCAAAAAAGACTGACTACATATATCATCCAAAACGGGGACTAAAATATCCAAACATAAAACTGGGTGGTGGTGGTGCACGCCTTTAATCTCAGCACTCAGGAGACAGAGACAGATGGATCTCTGTGAGTTCAAGGCCAGCCTGGTCTTCAAAGTGAGTTCTAGGACAGGCTCCAAAGCTAAGGGAAACCCTGTCAAAAAAAAAATAGGGCCTGAGAAAACTACAAAAAGTTCTAGACAAGGAGCCAGATGTGGCTTTCTATCCTGCAGTCTCTCAGGTGGGCCAGTGCTGGGCATACAGAGGCACTAATAATGGCCTCTGCCTGTGGGCTGGAGCCAGCCACCAATGCCTCGAGCCAGCACCGTGTGCTAAGCTAAGCCGTGCATGTGGCAGCAGACATGGCAGTTTAAGATCTGTCTCATGGGGCTGGAGAGATAGCTTAGGGGTTAAGAGCACTGACTGCTCTTCCGGAGGTCCTGAGTTCAATTCCCAGCAACCACAACCATCACAACCATCCCTTATGAGATCTGGTGCCCTCTTCTGGTGTGCAGAATGGAAGCAGAATGTTGTACACATAATAAATAAGATATTTTTTAAAAAAAAACAAAAAAATAAAAGTCTTTAAAAAAAATGAAAGCCAAAAGAATGTATTATGTTGGGAAGAGGTTATGCTTTTGTTTCCATAGGAAACCAAAGGCTGTAGATTCCTTCTAGGTTAATTGAGATCAGATTTGACTGGGGGAGACCTCCTGACTATCTTGGCTACAGACATGAAGGGGCGGTGAGCCAAAAAAGACATGTGATGTGTAGGCTGAGCCTCTGCATGGGAACAGCTCAGAGATGAGATGAGACATGGCAAATCTTGTTGGCTACAGTCTCTTCATGACTTATTATCACATGCCATCGTTTCATATGACATGGATGGAGATTTTTATTAGTACTTGGTTATGTAGTCCAAACAGGTTTATAAAGTTGACAGATGCCTTTTGCCTGTTCAAACATAGAACAAAAAAATTTTTAACTGACTTGTGCACACTGCACATTCCACACTTGTGTTAATGCAGATATGTATGTTATCTTTGAAAGTATATGTGATTTCAGAGCAAGGAGACCAGACACCAATGAAAACAGGTGGCCCAGGTGATCCAGTTTCTCAGAGTGCTTCTGTTGCAGCTTCCTCAGAGTTCTGCATACAGAACAGTTTCAAGGATGCTGGCTGAGATGGATTTAGCTTCATAGCGCATGCCAGCCAGGACTACAGATAAGCCTTTCGTTTTCCCATTGCACAGAGACTGGGCATCAAATGTTATGGCTAGTTTTTCCAGGACTTGACCATTATCCCAATTTTCTCAGGGTCCTCCAAAGACATCATCACACACTCACCCAGAGCAAGAAGCAGTCTAAAGAACACAATGCCTGGTTAGTACTTGGATGGGGGACTGCCTGGGAATACCCGGTGCTGTAGGATTAAGAAAAAAAATTAGCTGGGCGTTGGTGGCACATGCCTTTAATCCCAGCACTTGGGAGGCAGAGGCAGGAGGATGTCTGGGAGGTTGAGACCAGTCTGGTCTACAAGAGCTAGTTCCAGGACACCCTCCAAAGCCACAGACAAACCCTGTGTCGAAAAAAACAAAAAACAAACAAACAAAAAGAACACAATGCCCATATTCCCAAGAGGTGGAATGGATGGGGTGTGTACAAATAAAGTATTATGGATAATTGTCATCATTTATGGGGATTGGTTACAAGTTGTTATTGATAATGGTCAGGAACAAAGCTGAACAAATGAGATTAGATTCAGGGATCTCATTCTGAAAAAAAAAAGAGGGGATATCAAAGTAATAGGATAAAAGGGCGGATTCTTGAATCTACCTTTAAACCAAAAAGGCAACTACCAGTCTCAATGGTACAAATTTGGTATATTAATACAAATTTAAGGTTATTTTTGTTATACTGAATTTATGTTTATACTCTTGTTCAGGGTATTGTGCTTACACAGCTCATTTAAAATGTGGTGTCTGATTAAGAAACACAGGTTAGTAGTAGTTAGTCATCTATGTTAATCAAACTTGTAGTCATATTAGGTATGTTTTGAAAGTTAAACAGATATATTTTAGATAAATGGTCTTCAAACACTTCAGAGAACTACAGAATATGGCATTTATGATGTTTTAAATAACATAAGGCTTTTCACGAGAGTGAGACACATCCGCTCCTCGCAGCACCAATTTACTTCAGAGAAGATAATGGGCATCAAAGAAGCCCCATATGGAGTTTCCTTTTTTGGGGGGGGGAGTTGAGACAGAGTTTCTCTGTGTAATTTTGGAGCCTATCCTGGCACTCACTATGGAGACCAAGCTGGCCTTGAACTCACAGAGATCCCCCTGCCTGCCTCTGACTCCCAAGTGCTGGGATTAAAGGCGTGTGCCACCAATGCCTGGCCTTGGAGTTTCCTTTCTTTGTGGCAAAAGTTAGCCACTGGGCATGCTTCAATTGCTGATAGTATGCTGTCCAAATTGGTCAAGCAAGACACAAAAGAAATCCGCTGTTGAACTTTGCCAAGACAAGGCAGGACAGTCCTCCAAAAATTCCTGCTTTACAGAAAAGTCTGTCAGATATTCTAGGCCTGTAGGCTGAAGATGGATGCTTCAATATTACGGAGGCAACTTGGGTGACTGTCCAGGAAACCAGCTGTTTCTGTCATTTCTATAGTTTTGGAAGTTGTTTGCTCTGCACTTCCTATTTACTCAGGTAATATTATATCCTTCTTGGGTCTCTGATGGATTTGAAGACTAGGTAATTATAGTTTTTGTCAGTGATCATCTGTATTAGCCCCACATTGTGGAACATTCCAACAACCACATGGTGGCTCACAACCATCCGTTATGAGATCTGGTGCCCTCTTCTGGTGTGCAGATATACATGGAAGCAGAATATTGTATACATAATAAATAAATAAATTTTTAAAAAAGTAAAAACTCCTGACAACACATAATGGATATGGTGGCACATATCTGTCATCCCAGCACACACCTGTCAGTCATCCCAGCACATACCAGTCATCCCAGCACACATCTGTCATTCCAGCACACATCTGTTATCCCAGCACACACCTGTAATCCCAGAACTCTGGAGGTGGAAGCACAAGGATCAGAAGTTCAAGGCCACCCCTAGTTACATAGCAAGTTGAAGATCAGCTTGGGCTACAGGAGGCACTGTCCAAAACAAACAAACAAATAAATGAAATGAAAAGGGGGCTGGAGACGTGGCTTAGAAGTAAAGAAACTGACTGCTCTTCCAGATGTCTCAAGTATAATTCCCAGCACCCTCATGGAAAGTTAGAAATGGAGATTTAAAAACACAAAATTCTCTTTAGCAGGGCATGATGGTGCACGCCTTTAATCCCAGCACTCAGGAGACACGTCTCTGAGTTCAAGTTCAACCTAGTCTACAGAGTTACATACAGAAATGCCGTCTTAAAAAAAAAGAAGAGAAAAAAAGAGAGAAAATGAAGAAAAGAAAGAAAATCAGCCGGGCCAGGTGTGGTGGTGCATAGTTTTAATCCCAGCACTCAGGAAGCAGAGGCAAGTGGATCTCTATGAGTTTGAGGGTAAAGCCTGAGCTACATAGCAAGTACCAGGCCAGCCAGCAAGACTTTGTCTCAAAAACACCTTTAATCCCAGCACTCGGGAGGCAGAGGCAGGTGGATCTCTGTGAGTTTGAGGCCAGCCTGGTCTCCAGAGCGACTACCAGGATAGGCTCCATAGTTACACAGAGAAACCCTGTCTCAAAAAACCAAAAAATAAATAAATAAATAAATAAATAAATAAATAAATAAAAATAAAAGATGACACATGAGTCAAATTCAGTCGTGGAGAGCTGGGGATCAGGGGAGCTGTGAGCTCACGGCCACATTATGAGCTCACAGTTGAGCTCATAGGCACCTTTCAGACAGGACTCCAGAAGGGACAGTGATGGCCTCCTCTGGACATGATGTTAGTACTTCCTTTGTGATTCTCATTCCCCAAGAGACGTCTGCCAGACGAAGGAAATGGGCCTCTGCCTGGCTGAAGGAGAGGGCCCGAGCCAGGGCCACATCCTGCTGGAGTTGGGTATGGGGAGAGGATCGGAGAGAGAGACAGAATGAAGACACTCAACTCGAGCTGGATGCCTTTGCAGTCTTCAAAGCTGATCCTGGCCAGGTGTTCTGGTCAGCTCAGGTGCTTGGACTCAGGGCCAGGTGTTCTGATTGAGTCAGGTGCTGGGACACAGCGCCAGGTGTTCTGGTCTGCTCAGGTGCTGGGACTCAGGACCAGGTGTTCTGGTTGGTTCAGGTGCTGGGACTCAGGGCCAGGTGTTCTGGTTGGTTCAGGTGCTGGGACTCAACTTGTCAGCTCAGAGGTGGCACATGAGGTGGAGGTGGAGGGGTGGGGTAATGTGGGCAATTACCAATATGGAGCCAGGTAAAAATACAAGGGAATTTAATAGGGAAAAGCCTTACTTACCGAGCGACCTAGCAAGCTGGCGGGCAGCAGTAAGTACAGCAAGCCGAAGATGAAAGAGGAAGCAGGGCCATGTAAGCGTCCCTCACTCTTAAACTTTCCCTACGTCACCCTGGCCACGCCCTCACAGGTGTGGCTACAGAATCCCCTACAGTGGGAAGGTCAGGAAGGGAAGGGAGGGCATGCCTAGTGGAATCTGAAAGTTACATTTGCTATCCTAAAGGGACAATGGAGGGGTCTGAGGTCTCAGTTTCCTCACTGGGAAAATACTGGTCTGTTCTAGTACTCTGAGACCATTCAGCTCAGGCCTTTGCTCTGCAGTTGAAGAAACACACTTTCTTATGTTTTTAAACTATTTCTGATAAGAATGGTTGGCTTCCTGGGCCAGCAAGACGGCTCAATGGGAAAGGCTCTTGCTGCCAACCTTGAAAACCTAAATTCATCCCCTAGACAGAGCTGGCATCCCATGCTTGGCCATCTGCTGTGACCCTGCCCTTACCTATTGGATCCAGCCTCCAGGATGCTGCAAGCCAAAGGGCAGCCATTACTCTGTTTTAATCAACAAGCAGCCAATGTGTGGGTCTGGGAGAAGGAAAGGCAGAAAAGCAAGAGGAAAGGGGCGGATAGTTATAATGACCATGACAACGAGCCCATGCCAGGAACAGGACCCATGTCAGGGTCACAGTCCGTGCAGGCCAGCTCTCTGGTTCCTGGACTGGGACACTTCCTTCTACCCACTGTGGCTGCCACAGGTCAGAGCTCCAGAGGGAACAAGGTCCTCGGGTGTTCAGGAAGAAGATCCTGCAGCCCCTGCTTTGACCTTTGGCCCTTCAAAATGCTACTAAGTGGCCTGAGGCCTGGGCAGGCCGTGTCTATCACCCCAGTAGCTCCCAGCATGTGCAACTGTCCTGTGACTGCTGCTGTCCTACCCTGCTTGTCCCATCACCTCATGTCCATGGCAATGAGGCGCCTCAAGGTCTTCTGACCCCCTGCTCTGTTCTACGACAGGCTCCCACTGACCACACTGCTCCTGCACCGCCAACTGCTGCTGATGACACTATGTTTCTTGGTGTTGTCCCTTCCCCTGATGCTGACCTCACTAGCATGGCATCGCCTCAGGTTTGTGCTTTTTCCCTTTTGTCTGCTGCACTCCTCTCTGTTTGCCAAAGGGCTTTACCTTCTCTGAACTCTCTTTTCTCTTCAGGTAGCTTGGTCCAGGTGCTGCTCCTGGAGCCTGGCATGGGGAGGCCAAGCTGGGGAGGCTTGGGGAGATGGGTATTGATGAGCGTGACTCACCCTGTCCCTGTGAGATAATAAGCAGAAGCTGAATAGTGACCTGGTTTATTTCTACCCATACAGAGCCATGATGCTGGCAATAGCTCTAACCTCATGGAGGAGACCAAGTAAGCGTTCCCTACTAAGGGAGTCAGGGCAGACCTCTGCCTGTGAGCCGGGTTCCTGTCAAACCACTTGCATCCCTGACCCTATGCCTCCTTCCTTAGGACTTTCTCATCAACTGAGAGTCTGCAACAACTTTCTCAACAACTCAATGGTCTTGTGTCTGAGGTACCACAGGATTGGGGTCCAGAAAGAAGGTAGAGGGGAAGAAAGCGTGTTAGAAGCTGAGGCCAGGATTCTCAGGAGACTGGCTCATGAGAGGATCCTGTCAGACTCAGAGAAGACAGATTTGGATGTGATTTTATCCTGGTGTGGAAACTGAGAGATGACGGCTGTCAAGGGGCAGAGGCTGGGCCATGGCGGGATTAGAACATGAGGAGTGGCACAAAGATGGCGTGAGAGGAGAGGCCCAAGGTAGACAGGAAAGCAGCTTCTGCTGGTTGAGGGGGAAGGAAGGAGGCTGGGGGGTTAGACGTTGAGTGTGACAGAGCATCTCCATGTGAGATAATTGTCTCTCCTAGTCTACATCGTACATCAACGGGGAGTGCCTCACATCCTCTAACTCGAAGGAACGAAGGAACGGAGGGGGGGTTGGAGGGGGACTTGGAATGTAGTTCAGTGGCTACACTGTTGTCTACTGGCACAAAAAAGAGATGCCAGGGGATTACAAGAGTGTGTTTGAGACACTTAAGGGACATCCATGGGGAAGAAACACTGATATCTGTACAGCAGACAGACAGACAACAGTGCTATGGGCAGTCTCAGCTGGAGGCAGTATGTACAGAAGCCAGAGACAGGATTCCCTAGACCCAGGACACAGGAATTCCATTTAGTTGAAAAGTAAGTAGGAGTAATGACAGGCAGGCTGGTCCATTCAGACCCTTGGCATGAGACAAAAGCCTCATCCAACCACATTCTAGCCAGCCTCTGCATTTGTATCAAGCGTAAGTACCAAGGGCACTGGAGGGGAAAATCTCTCTAGTTCTCAATTGCCATGGCAGGCACTAACCTCAAGGGGGCAGTGTCTACCCAGATATGTGCCCAACAGCCGAGCAGCATCCCTTGTGTGGGCCTCCTGGGTTGGGTAGGTGCAGGCCTGCCAGGCTACTGGCGGCAAGCTGGATCTCTCAGCTTCCTTCCCAGGAGTCTGAAGAGACCAGTAACAAGCAGTAAGGAGCCAGCTGGCTGGAAACTAGAGGCTGATGGACAAGACACGTACACACAGACACTGTTCCATTACATCTAGTGTAAACCCTACTTGGAAACATTTTAGAGCCAGATACGATGGCTCACACCTGCAATCCTAACTCCAGACCTGCCTTCCTTACATAGCAAGACCCTGTCCAAAGATAAAAATAAATGATCCTGGCTGAGTGCTAAGGAAGATTGCTTCATCTCAGAGATCAAGACCAGCCTGGATAGCATGGAGAGAACCTATCTCAAAATGTAATAGTTGGGCTGGAGTTGGGCTGGAGACAGCTACAGGCTGTCTAAAGCCTGTAGCCCAGCATCCCTCTAAGGGGCTGGAGAGAAGGCTTAGTGGTTAAGAACACTTGCTGCCCTTTCAGAGAAGCAGGGCCCCCCAGCACTCATATCCTCCAGCCAATGGTAACTCCAGCTCCAAGGAACTCGTCACCCTCTTCTGGCCTCCATGGGCACTGAGCTCGTGTATACAAACCCATATATTTTTTAATTAAGTTTTTTTCTTTAAATATGAAAATTTTATATGTCTCATCCTGAACCTATAGAACTCAAAACAAAAGTGTAATATAATCTCCACTCGTCCCAGATGACCAGAAGGTGTGAGTGGCATTTCTGAGTGGCATGGGTAGGGACCATCAAATCTCACCCTATGCAGCCTTTCTCACCAGTGACAGTGAGAAGAGCCAGGCACCCAGTGTCTTGTAGTGAGAAAGAGGTGAAGCCTACAAGCCTGGCCACTGGAGGCATGATGAGGAAAGGCCCTTGTTAGGTAGGTGGAGAAGGTGAAGGGTGACAGTCACACAGCCAAATTGGTTACAAGCTGCAGGTTTCAGCAGACAGTGGTTAGGAACTGTAATAACCGACATTTACACAACTCTGTGGCTCAGCCTGTATCTCACCTGAGGCATCCCACTGGCCCCAACAATGGAGTAAGATCCTTGAAGCACCCATTCCCAGACTGAGCCAGCTGAGGTACAGAGCATGAGACCCACTACATCAGACTCTAGAGCTGCCTCCCACACAGGTCAGCCTTAAAAAAGAATAGCTGGCTGGGCGTTGGTGGCGCCCAGCGCTCGGGAGGCAGAGGCCGGCAGATATCTGTGAGTTTGAGGCCTGGTCTACAGAGCAAGTTCTAGGACAGCCTCCAAAACAATACAGTGTCTCGAACAAAACAACAAAACAAAACAATGTCTCGAAAAACAAAGACAAAGACAAAAACAAAACAACAGACTATAAGCAAGCAAGGTATTTTTCTCAGCCACTTTTTACTGGCAGGCTTCATTTTGCAGTTACAAAGAAAGGATCAATCACTTTATTATTTATCTCAAAAGTTAATCTTATAAAAAAATCTTAAAAGAATCACAAATGTGGGGGGGGGGGCCGCTGGAGAGATGGCTCAGTGGTAAGGGGAATGGCTGCTCTTCCAGAGGTCCTTAGTTCAATTCCCAGCATTCACATGGTGGGTCACAACCATCCCTAATGAGAACTGGTGCCTTCTTCTGGCATGTAGTCATATATGTAGGAGGAACGATGTATACATAATAAAGAAATCCTTTTTAAAAAATCACAAATCTAAACTCATATATGAAAACAGTCAGCTCTACTTTAAATCCTCAGGGTGCATATCTACTCATCAACATGGTTATTGTTTGTTTGTTTTTGAAACAGGATTTCTCTGTGTAGTTTGGGAGCCTGTCCTGGAACTTGCTCTGTAGACCACACTGGCCTCGAACTCACAGAGATCTGCTTTTCTCTGCCTCCACAGTGCTGGGATCAAAGTATGTGCCACCACCACTCGATCATTAACAGTTTTTTTTTTTTTTTTTTTTTTAATTTATTATGTATACGGTCTTCTGCCTGCATGCCAACAGAGGGCACCAGATCTCATTCAAGGTGATTGTGGGCCACCTTGTGGTTGCTGGGAATTGAACTTAGGACCTCTGGAAGAACAGTCAGTGCTCTTAACTACTGAGCCATCTCTCCAGCCCCATCAACAGTTTTTTTTTATATCAGGAAGATGAGGGCAGAAATGGGTACAAGGAATTTATCATCACCTTTGATTGATAACCCATCCTAGCAAGAAAGCAATAGCCAGGCTTCCATGAGTCCCTCAATGAGTCCCTCACTCAACTATCAAAAGTGTGCCCTACTAAACTTTAAATTGTTCCCCAAGATTTTCTAACCTCAAGCTATTATCCAAAACATCTTAACCTAACCTTAAGTCAGTATTTAAAACTTCGTTTTAGCTATGACGATCACCAAAACCCATGAACACATCTCCAACATTGACATTAAAAGAACTTGAGCTAAGCCTAGCTTCTGGGACTCAGTTATTTTCCTTGATCATTAACCTAAGCCACAGTCTATATGGCTTCTCCAGAGAAACTCATAAGTCCTAGCTTCGTGACACTTCCTTGGTCATATTTTTGCCCTCTGCGGCCCCTGCTTTATCAGGGGTGGGGGCAACACCATATCCTGTTTTTACCTATATTATTTTCCCACTAAACTAACCTCTATTATAATCCCTTACTACATTTGTTTGACACCTTTAATCACTATAATTCTATTGAAACTAACACTATTATTATATAAAATCATTTCTTCAATTAAATGGTACAGCTTAAGAAGAGTTAATCTTCATAGTAATCCACAGGTAAAAATGCCCAGTAGAACGGGATATTTCCATGAGATAATCACACTACATTAAAGGCAGTAGGGATCTCCCTACACCCATTCACACCATGACAGATACCGGAGAAAAATGGCAACTACAAAAGGCACAGCAGTAGCAAGAGACATTCTGGAGCCAAAGCCCTTGGGCCTTTCGGATCTGAGATTCACCCATCAGTGCCTTGCATTCTGGTGAGCTGATCTCCTGAAGTCAATTGCCATCTGCTGCTCTTCTGACGTGGCCACTGACAATATACTTTAGCTGCTCTTACAAGGTACTGAGTTTTATTCCCAGCACAGACACATGGTGGCTCACAACTGCTGATAACTCCAGCTCTAGGGTGTAGTAAACCTTTAGTGTCTATACATATCCCCAAACAGACAAGCGCACGTGCACACATGCACACACGCGCGCGCGCGCACACACACACACACACACACACACACACACACAGACACACACACACACCAATTTGAAGATTTATTTATTTTGGGTGTGTGTGCTGTGCAATGTGAATGTATGCCATGTGTTTGTAGGTACATGTGGAGGCCAGAGTTTTGGTATCACAGGTGCGTGCTGCCACATTGGCTTTTACGTGGGTGCTAGGGATCTGAACTCGGGACCTCAGGCTTGTATAGCAAGCACTTTACCTACTCAGCCTTGTCCCCAGTTTCAGGGTTTTGCATGTTTCAGCACTTTTTTGCTAAGGTACAACCCCAGGTTTCTTTTTTTTTTTTTAATTACTATTTTTATTACATATACAGTCTGTCTGCATGTATCCCTGCAGGCCAGAGGAGGGCACCAAATCTGATGACAGATGGTTGTGAGCCACTATGTGGTTGCTGGGAATTGAACTCAGGAGCTCTGGAAGAGCAGTCAGTGCTCTTAACCTTTGAGTCATCTCTCCAGCACCCCTCCCCCCGCCCCCACAGGTTTCTTAATTTTCACTTTGATATCATCTTGCTAAGTTTCCAAAGCTGGTTTTGAACTCATCCTGTAGCCCAGGTTGTCCTTGAATGTGTGATACTCCTGCCTTAGCAGGGCAGCTTCTGTGGGCATTGGTTTGTAGTACTAGGTATTGAATCCAAGACCTATGCATGCCAGGCAAATGATCTACTACTGAACTAAATCCCCAGTCATTTTTCTCTTTTCTTTTGAGACTGGGTGGGTCTTGAACTCACTGTTATCCAAGCTAGTCTTGTATATATGATCCTCTTGTCTCAGCCTTCCAAGTAGCTGGGATTACAGGCCTGTGCCACCAGGCTCAGTTTCCCTCTGCTGCATATTTCTTGGTGCCTGTATGAAAAGGCTTCTAGTCACCAGCAATAATGTTCTGACAAATCCTCCCTCAAACCCGCCCACCTCCAAACACAAAGCTGCTTGATCCTCAGGGCCAGTCTCAACTCTCCACCAC